GACCCCACTTTAATGGGATTAGCAGGGATGGGGTTAGACTTGCTGGGGCCCAGGGCTTAGGCTTTGGTCCCCTGTCCAGGGGACGTGTAGTAATTTTTGTTGTCAGAATTGGATTGCGGAGCAATGAAGCTTAAGAACCTCTGACCACAGGTTGACTTTCATTCCATGCGTTTGGGACATTATTGTGGCTAACACTGCTTAAGTGATGTATAGTCTTATGTTGTCTTGTCTACATACGGGTATAGCTGAGATGTACAACTTGTATATTTAAAATGGTACAAACCATCCACTAGAGGATGCAATTCTAGATTGGTATAAAGATTCTTATACCAGTAGAGCTTATTCCTGTATGGGAAGGGGAGTAAGTTCAGTGTAAGATGCCTTTACAACTGTATAACTGCATCCACATTAGGGATTATGTATGTATAATTTTCAGTAAAATATACCTCTAACCAACATAGTTATACTGATAGAAAAATCTGTCTGTAGACCAGGCTCAAATATGAAAGGCAGTGTTTGGGGTGGTGGGGATAGGATTGTGTTTTGTCAAGTTAAGGTACCATTTTCAAAAGGTCTTTAGTAACTTGGGCACTGAAGTGCCACTGACAGTCACTAGTATTTAGGTGCCTAACTTGCTTAGGCACTCTTGAAAATCTTACCATTAGAGACCCAGGTTTCATGCATGCACCGTCCTTGCATAGGCTCTGTGCTAACTTATTTTAAACAGGGGGAATTCAACAGCTCTTCCTTGACTGCCTTCTAGGTTACAGTTCATGAGCTTGGCCAATATTAAGGGTAGTTTAAATTGCATGGGAATTTAAACAGGTGAGTTTTGAAATGACTTTCTCTTTCCCAGCTCAAAGACCTTTCCTCTAGGTTCCCTGTCTGACTCATTTAAAGTAGGCTGGTTCTGCTTTGCATCTCTTTTCTGTTAAGGCTAAAACGTTATAAAATACTCTATAAACTGCTCAATTATCAGTTATAAATAGATAATCAGCATAAGATGACCAATATTGTGGTCAACGGACAGGCCCCCAGAGTGTTGGGTCCTTTATAAAAGGATACAAAGAAAAGAGTGAATTTGCCAAAAAGGAGGTATTTTTTAACTTTATTCTCCATTTTTCATCAGCCCTCCATGAGAAGATAAGTCAGTGCTCACAGATAACTGACTTTGGTTTTTGCCATTTCAATGAGGTTTGTATAAAATAAAGGTTTTAAGGTTGCATCCCAGATTTCAGTTCAACGGGAACTTAACTGTGCAACAGTTCCACTGTAATAAATAGCCAGTTGTTCCAGGGCCTGCAATGGTGTCAAGGCAAGATGTGTCCATAACAAGTGAAGCCGGCATCAGTTTCTGGATCGATTTAAGACACGTAGCACCACCGTACATCTTATAGTGGTTGCACAAGAGAGGATGGAAGCACAGTTGACAGTTGCAAATGTCTATGAAAGAAACAGGCACAGCCTCTTGCTTGTATGTAATTGAAAAAAGCTGATTGTGGCTGTAGCCTCTACCTAACTTTCTAATAGCAGCTGGAAGGCCAGCCAGTCTCCTAGGTTGCTCATTTGCCCCACAAATGCTGGGCTAGCGGCTAGCCCCTCCCTCAGTCAAAGGAGGTGATATTATCTCTTCCACTTGTTCCCCTACAATCAGTATCTTCTCCATGTTCTTTGAACCAACGGTAAGCCAGCTCGTTCTCATCCAAACAGCAGCTGAGGCACTTGACCCTTCTGGCTGGTCGGAAAATAAAAGAGCTGGGCCCCCTCAGCATAGCGAAGGCACAGCAATCTCCACCTCCTCACCAACCCTTGTAACTGCCCCATAGCTCTCTAAAGAGGACAGGTGACAAGGTGGAACCCTGTAGCACTCCTTGATAGGGCCCCATTAGCAGCCTTTGAGAGCCCTTACTTATACAAGAATGGTCCCACCCCAAAGCAACCCCATTCACTCCTGGTGCAGCCCTCAACTGAGTCCACACACCTTATGCTTAACAGTATCAAAGGCAGCTGGCAGTTCTAAGAATGTCAGGGTGGTGATGCAATCTTGGCCCATTGCCAGGAAATTATCTACTGATGTAACAAGAGTTGGTCTGTCACATGCCCCCAAATTAACAAGTGTCCAAAGGTACTGCGGCCACCTGATTGTCACCATTTGTTCAATAATTGTAACCAGAAAAGGCAGCTGAGATACAGGCTGATAACTGGCCTAACCAAGTCTCAATGGCTCCTAGTCTAGCACTTTGCATGAGCTGTGCTCTGCACAAGAGGCCTAACTACTCCAAATGTCCTTCTCCCATTCTTCACCTGTCCTCCCACGCTGTTCTTTAGGCCTGGAACTATCAACCTAACCTGAGGTGTTGGCCATCTACTCCAAAACCCTCCTGAAAATGCACCATTTCTGCTAAACCTTATGCAACTAATCTGCCCTGGAAAGCATAGTCTCAGGTTTGTGTGTTTAAAAACCAACTGACTACATCACACCACTTTGTGATGAATATATAATCAGATCACTTGGTGCTCTGTTTGTCTGCAGCATGTGGCTAGTCTATGGTAAACCCCTGGGTGCAGGGACCACTTCTGTGGTCTGAACATACCAGCACTTGCATTGGTGGAGTTCCCAGAATACCCTCAAGGTGGCAATACACTTTACATAACATTCCATGAAGCTTACAGAGGGAGGGGGACTTATGTATTTTTAAGCAATTGGGTATGCAGGAAGTTTGTATGCCTGTTTCACAATTCAATAGCAGACCATCTAGTCTGTCTTGTGAAATGATAAAAGTTTACTCCAAACAAGGAAGCAAAGTATTTTAATCTATTCTCCGCAACTCCCAGTCTTTCCAGTTGCCACTGAACTGGTTTATAATCAGAGTGCTATATCTAGAAATCTCCATCAGCTTCCTCTAACGCAGTGGGTCAAATTAATCATAGTTCTAACTCCATTGACTTCAGCAGGTGTCTACCACTGAGCAATTTGGCCCATTGCTTTGTCTCTATAGGTGCTATTCTGTATTTTCAGTTGTAGCTTCCTTCTTCACAGTCATAATGCTTGCATGAATCATCATAAAAGGTGCTTTAAAATATAAGGACAAGGGCTTGTTCCTACTGAAACCACAGGTAAGGCCCAGAAAGTTGTGGTATATTGTATACTCTACACCTCTATCCCGATATAACGTGACCCGATATAACACGAATTTGGATATAACGTGGTAAAGTAGTGCTCCGGGGGGGGGGCATGGCCGCACACTCCGGCGGATCAAAGCAAGTTTGATGTAATGTGGTTTCACCTATATCGCAGTAAGATTTTTTGGCTCTCAAGGACAGCGTTATATCGGGGTAGAGGTGTATAATCCTCTAAAGATATCCCTTTCTCTTTATGTATCCCAATGTCAGGCACAGGACTCACTTTGGCGCATCCTATGGTACAAGCTCTGTTCCAAAGGTAGTGATGTCAGCAGTATTGGGAAAGGAAGGAGAACCAAATCTTTATCCTGGAGGTTATGGTGGTAACTGATTACCATAAAATACCTAGCAAGGGAGAGTGCTCTGCTAATAAGGTTGGTGGTGAGAGATGGAAACTTTCATCTCTGGGATATTAGTTCTACTCCAGCTCAGCACTGACGGAAGCTGTGATATTCTGCCATCTTGGTGGCAGTGGAATAGAGTCCTGTCTAAAGGCATTTGATG